TTTATATATATATACAGATATGGTTGAAATAGCGTTTTGCCTGCAGAACAGATAAAAAAAGGAGAAATTAATCAGTTATAAAAAGGAAAATAAATTAAAGTGTACAAATGTACATATGAATTTTCAGTAAATAGAAATAAATGACCTATATGGTACAAAAGAACCTGAATAATTTTCGTCCACTTCGACACATGTTGTAGAATAATGAAAAATAAAGATATAAGATATGGTTGATAGTGGATCATTCAATATTATGAGTAGCAGTTTAACGAATTTGAAGCAGTTGAAAAAATTAAAATCATTCTGAAAAGTATTTAGACATAGTTGAAGAAGAAATTTCGTCGATAATTGTTACTTTCGTAATACTTGATGCATTTATATTCCGATATGGGTAGATTAGAGTAAGTCATTGCAATGATTTTGTATCGAATGAAATCAAGGTTCAGATAAGGATAAAAAAATAAAACCTATGAATAAGCTATGATTTAAGAAAAACAACAATGCAATCCTATTAGGTTATGTATAAGAATAATTTCAGCGAACATACCGTGTTAAATAACTAATAAGATAGAGTAAAAATACATAGTGGACATTATATTGAATTCATTGGTGAAGCCGATGATTGAATGGTGATTGAGCTACTTGTGCCAGAAGCCATTGATTGATCTAAATTGTAATAGTTTCTCTTATATATTTTACTGTAACAAATCAAGAAAAAATTAAATATAATAGTTTTACGTATTGCTTCATCAGATCATGCGTCTCAAAATACTAAATAGTTCTTAGTTTTATTTAAACATACCTTGTTTATTTCGTTTTGCTTCATTCAACTTTTTGCTAACGGGATGTGATCGTTTAGAATTTTGTTTAATTTTTCGTTCTTCAAGTTGTTCAATAGCTAATTTCTCTGTTATCACTTGCCCACGTGATCGATCAAGCACCGTTCGTTTTGTAGCTCTTTTAGATGTTTCGTTTGAAGATGTAGAAAATATTGACTGTATTGCATTTGTAATTGCATCCAATGAATGTTGAGATTTTGGTGCTGACGAACTAATAATTACATCATCTAAAGAAGGATTTGTTCTTATGTTAGTGATAGTACATTTGAAGCAGAATTACCTTCATCGGATATGTCGACATTAATAGTTGTAGTATCTGATTTTCTTTTTTTTTTGTTTTGTTGTCTTGATACTGGTTGATGTTTTTTGATTGATGAAACTTGTTTTGGTCGAAATTCGTTTTCTTTTCCAAATGATTCTTGAGATTCTGACGATTGTGAACTAGTCATGACATCATCTAAAAGAAAAGTTCAGTTTCACCATATAGTTAATATTTAATTACAGATCTTACCGTCGTCTTCAGATGTATCAAATCCAATAATATTTGATCTTTTTTTTCTTTTATTATTTTTCTTTAATGAAACAGATCGTACACGATCCATTGTTGATTTTTTATTTGGTTGAATGTTTTGGTTATTCTTTGATGGTGCAGATATTGAAGAAGAAAAGGTAGACTGTGTTGGAACGTAATCTTCATCTTCGTTGTCGTCAGTACTATCATTTTGGATATTTGAGTTGGTGTTTTGTATAATTTGATCAAGAATGGTGATTGCTTGATGAGTAGAAGTAAATGGTAAAGCAATACGTTGAGAAGAAGATTCAATAGTAGATGATGATGGATAATCAGCAATATTATTATTATTATTATTTACAGGAGTATTATTCTTGTTGTTATTTATCATTGAAGAATTGTTTGTCATAGACGAGCCATGTTGTTGATGTGTGTTATTGTTAGAACCATTGGTTGTATAAGAAGCAGAACTTGTTGACGATGTACCGATAGATTTATTGTTTTTCAGAATCCGTGAACGATCGATACTATTCGGATTGAACGGGAAAATACCTGCTTTCATGAAACTTTTGACCACATTTGTTTTTGTCTTCATACTATCGATGGTCCATAATTGGTTCATAAGCGATGGAAAACGTTCTTTAGTAACGTTTTTAAAATTTGTATGTGTAAATTCGTTCTTCAAAATTCTAAGAGGAAATCGTACAACTAGAGCTGTTAGCTTAGCATTAGTATTAGAAAAATACTAATTCTTTTGAATTAAAATTAGATTAATACTTAATGCTTCGGTTATTAATATTAGAGTGATACTTGATAATTTGCGTCAGTATTAAGTTAGCCTAATGATAATACTAATACTGATAATTCATATAAACAGAACAAAATTATTCTGTTATAAGAATCATTATCCCAAAAACAGTACAAAACTGCTCTGTCTTTTGGAAAGAGTTCCTGAAATAGAACAATTTTATACTGTTTTTTTGGATGATGATTCCTATAACGGAATATTTTTATACTAATTGTAGGAATCATAAATATCACCATTATTTCAATGCTAACTTAATACTAATAACTAGAGCATTACTTATTAAGCTAATTTTAACTCACAAGTATTAGCATTTTGGCATTAGTTATTGCAATGCTAATACTAAGCCAGCACTTCTACATATATCACTTAAGACAAAGAAACTTACTTCTTCCATTCCACTTTTAATGGATTGAAAAATACAATATCAAGAGGTTGGAGTATGTGTGTTGAATGTGATGGAAGACAAAGTATTATTCTAAAAAGAATTTTTAAATATATTTCGATTTAATGAACGATTCTTTCATGATTATAAAATACGACAATAAGTAATCGATAACTTACACTTGATGTTCAACAGCTAATTTCAGTGTTTCAACATCGAAATGACTTCCATGACCATCTATTATTAAAAGTAGTGGTCGAGGCAAATGTTTCGTTTGTTCCAAAAACCAATGTTCAAACCATTTACGGAATAATGTCGTTTCCATCCAACCACTTCAAAAGAGAAAATTGTTTCGAATATATTAGTTTGAAGGCAGAAAGTATCACAGTATTTTGGTCGGTAAAAATTAGTTACAGATTTTATATATCTATTTCTTCTGACTTTATGAGATTGTTTATGTGAGTATTACTATAAGATTTTGATATACTGTAGCTATTTATTAATCAATACAGATTGAAAGTCAAGTAATATTTCTTGAACAAAAGTATAGATATATTAAAAAAAGATTTCCTTCTTTTTATCTTGACAAAAGAAAAACGACTCAACAAGCAGCTTCCTTCGACAATTATCATGAGTATCAATAATATTTTGTAGCATTCTTGTAGACTGTTGAAATATCATGAAATCTTACGAAACTCAAATCTGCTTGACATAAAAAATACTTACTTCTTCGAAGTTTCAAACACCGTATTAGGTGGACCTCCAATACACCAATCTGTAAATAACCTCTTTGCCTTGTATATAACAAAAGGAGGCAGAAGAAATCCGGTGGCCGACGCACAAAACATAACGCTGACATAAGATTTACCACTACCACCTTGAATACGATAGGCATTGGACGTTTGACGATGGACTATTACTTTAGAATAGCCAATATTGTCCGACATTCCTAGTAAAATATTGCACTACCATCAAATTGATTATTGAAATGGGATTTCGTACTCACCAGACTCGTCTGAATTGAAAATCTGTGCTGGACGATCTTGTAAATTGTTTTCTTGAATTATATTATTCAATAATTCAAACCAATCATCGATTTGACTAATCGTTAAAGCAGCTCGCTTTTTTTCCAATGGATACGATTTTTTCATAATTAAATTATGATGACGATTAAGAAACGAATATAACCAATCCGAAGTTGGTCTTCCATTCGGAAACAAGTTGCTCTTATTCAGAAATGTGGCATATTCTTTGGCAAGGTTAATAAATTCTTCAATTGTTACAGGTATCCCCCATTTCTAATATGTAAAAAATATTTTTAAAATACAGGTACAAATGAGATTTTTATACCTGAAGAACGAGTGTAGCTTGTTCAAGGCAGTCCTCCTCGTCCTTGTTGAATTTTGTTGGACGACCGATAGTATCATATTTAACAAGATTATTATAGTGTGAATTAAGTGTTGTGTATGGAACATGTTTTCTGCTTGCTGCTTCACGTATTGAAGTACCAGATGCCACCATTTCAAGTGCCAATTTAAAATCATCTGAACTGTAATTGTATCGCACATCTTTTTTTATATATGTGCGTGGCATTTTCAAATTTTCTTTTATTATTTGAAAATTGATGATAAGCAATGACTTTAATTTTAAGATAATGACAAATTACAATTAACCGTCAACGTATATTTATATACAATACAACATGGTAATAGAGAGAGAGGAAGAGAGAAACGATCTATACATGTATATATGTATATACGTATATATGTACAGAGAAATCCAGGGATAATTAATCTTTCCTTTCCCTTATCATTTATAATGAATGATTCATTAGATATAGGGCATACTTTGCCTTGACAAAATAGAAAATTCTTTAATAAATTAAAAAAAAAAATACTTAATCAATCATGTAGAATAACTTCTTATTTTTTTAATATTGTTAGAGAGCGCGCCTGATTGAAAGAAAAGAAAAGATATATATATATGTGTGTTCGGTTGTTGTTAATTAAGTGTTCAGACAGGCTGTTTGTTCTTTGATTGAAGACTAGATTGTCATGTCAGTTTTAAAATAAAAGTTAGCATAGCTTTAATACTAATAACATGATAGTTATCAATGAATTGAACAACTTTTATTAAATAAAAACTAGTCGATAAGGTGTCCTAAAGTTGATAAATGTATTGTAAATTATCTCTAACAAAGATAATTGGAGTTATTTCAGTTATCTGAACTAGTTTATCTATATGATCCGAATTACCCCAAGTTCACATTTTCATTTTTTCAGTGCTTTATGGTGGTCTCAGTGTTTTAAAGATTGTATTAGAATGTGACCTTCAATTATCGTGATATTATCAGGTCCCATAGAAAAGACTTCGGGCTATCGACTGGTGTTGTTTTTTATAGTGAAAACACGGATAAAAAATGAGTTATGAGTTGGGGGAAAAAGTTCCTATCATTTTTGCTGGAGTGATCCGAATTACCCTGACTAGTTTAGCTTACTGATCCGAATTACCCCATTTGGGGTAATTCGGATCAGATGGTGGTCGCTCGCGCCATTTTCGCAAATACTTTTTTTTGGTAAAAGATATCGAGGTGCTTGTTTCGCCAGTCGATAGAGATGAATTTAATCTACCTATGATAAAAAAATCACATTTGTACTAGATCTAACGCCAGAGAACAAATTAAAACAAAATCGAATTTTTAACTTGTGATCCGAATTCCCCCATAGGACTCTAGTTAAAATTCAGTAATCTTTTGGTACGTATGATATTTTCATAGCTATCATGCTGGAAATCATTTCAAAGCATGACTATCAGAATAGTTCATGTATTCACTTAAAAATCATAGATTGATGAGAGAGTTCGAGTAGTCTTCATTTATATAATAGAAGATCTAAACTACACAGATCTCTCTACATTTTACATCTATCCATAGTTCTGTTATCTAATATCCTATTGATTATTTTACAAATGAATATCTGCTAACAAAGGCGATTGTGTGTCTGGTAAATGAAATTAACTTATGATTACCATTTGAATATTACATTTCACAAATCAATAAAAAATATTGAGATTGTGTTATCAAAGATTCTGAAATAATGTTGGACTTTTTTTACGTTTATCCGAACAAAAATTGTCATCAATTTTGATATTATTTGATTCATACTGTCATAAAAAAAAAACAGAATATTGTGGGTAATATATATTTGTATTGCCATCGATGATGCATTTGAACGGTAAAAAGTATGATAATCGAAAACATAAATCTATCGAGCGATTACGACCGATAGGGACTTGGTTAATAATGTTATATATCGAAATGGTAGATCGTCGAGGTTGGATTGAGGTGAGTGTAAGACAATAATAGTACATTCATATTATTCTCAAATGTTTTAGTGAATGAAGAATTGTTTGCCTTCACTGTGTATATAACTGAATGTATGTATATTTTATGCAAAAAAAAATAAGAAAAAAAATATCATGATTAATAAAAACATTAAAGACAAATTTTTTGTTCGATTAGAAAACGTTGATGATCAACGTAATCTATTGTCCTGATTTTTCAATTGTGTTCGAACATTTGCTGAAATTTCCTTGTTCTTGAGAATGTATAACTCTTTTAATGTCTATATATATGAAGAAGATGAAAACATGAAGTTAGAAAAAGCTGATAATTACCGTATTACTCTTCAACATATCAACGAGACTTTGTGCACCCTCATCTCCAATTTGATTATCGGCAAGATGTAATATGGCGAGTGTCTACATATAAAAATAAATATGCATATGAGGAAATGAAAGAAAAATAAGAAATACTTTGTTCTGACGTAGAATATCAGCAAAATATTGCGCTCCTTTGTTATCAATCTGATTTGCGTTTAGACCTAATTCCATCAGTGTCTATATAATGAGGAAAACAGATATATGAAATGTAAAATGATAAAATAAGAACTTACCTTATTATTTCGTAGAATATCAGCAATATGTTGCGCTCCAATTGTTCCAATTTGATTACTCCAAAGATCTAGTTTAGTGAGAATCTATATATAAAGAAAATCGATATAAGATAAATAATAAGATTGATAAGTAGATTAATCACCTTGATATATCGTAGAGAATCTGCAATGCGTGCTGCTCCTACAGCTGTGATTTGATTGTTGCCAAGATATAGTGTGGTGACTTTCTATATGTAGACAAAATTTTATATATAAAAAAGATTAGTTATGAATGAGATTGTATAGTATCTAATTGCTAAAGAAGATTCTAACATAGTTTCTTTTTTTCTACGGCTAAATATTTTCTTTGAAACAATTTATAATTGGTACTTATAGTGATGATAAAAGTCTCAAATAGGATTATTTTTTAGTTTTATAGATAAGCAAATAATATTTTCATACCATATTAATTCGTAATGCTCTAGCAATAATTATCGTGTCGAAGTCATTTAATCCATGATTATTCAAATTGAGGGTCGAGTTGTTTTTCTGATTCGAGATGAGTTCTTCTAGCTGAGGATTTTGATATGGTGATTGTTCCACTACTCGTATGTTTTCTAATGCTTGTTTTACTGCCGCGTGAACTTGACTGACTCCTTCAACATTATACTCGCTTAGTATAGGAGGTCTTAGATTAGTCCAGTCTTCATTCGCCGTCGAAAAATATAGTTGATAGTTATCTCGATGTTGCAATATCGTTACATAATCTGCAGTTGTAACTCTTTGTTTGAATAGTAGTCGCCATTCTCGAAAGTTTCTCCATTTCTGCATCCATTCGATTTGATATTCTTCAATTTTTTTCTTATTCTGAACGTCAACATCTGATAGATTTTCATTTATTAATTTTTCTCGATCATCAATCATTCGACGTATGGATGCAAATATTTCTGCAATACTTAATTTTTTTACCTTTGATTGTTCTTCATATTCTGTGAGTATCTGTTTTAATTCAATCTCAGGACTTACTGATAAAGGATGTTTAGTAAAATCCTCTTTAATCTGAAATACAGATCATCATTTATTCCTCAATAATAACGGTGCGATTGATAACCTACTTTATGTATCACCTTTTTGACAGCATCGCCGATCAATTCACATTTATGTTGTTGATGTTTTTCAATTAAACAGCCCGAACAATAGAGTGTCTTGTCTTCTTCACACCAAAATTCTGCTTCTTTTGTCGGATGTTCCGAACAATGGATTATTTTGGGTGGTTTCGATTCACCTGGTCGATGATCCGCAAGTGCAGGCAATTTATGTAATGTTTCATAACATTCTCGGCAAAATCCTTTGTTCAGACAATCTCTACACCAGACTTTAGCTGTATGCTCATTACAATTACAACATTTAACATTGCATAATGCTAAAAGTTATCAATATATAGGCATTTTACTAATAACTATAAATATAAAAAGGAGTTTAAAACTGCAGCTCGTAATAGACTACAATACTACTATAGCAATAGGGAATACATGCATTGAACAAGTCCTAATAAGTAATGATTTTCCTGAATAAAAGACAAAATCAAAGGCCGATAAGGATCATTTAGTATCCAAGAAAGGTATCTAAGTCATCTACAGTAATTTCGAAAAAGCAAAGCATCGCTTCCCTTTGAAGAATACGAGAGTTTGACAGAAGCGACTTCTAACAGATTCCACGTTGGATTTACATAGAGTCTGAAAAGTCTATCAGAATATGTCATAGTCAGGTTTCCTCTTTTGTCAACACATTTCATCTTATTCTTTCCAAGTTCATTAATGATAATCACTATTACGATATACAGGAATGAAATTCTATTAATTTACTAGTCTTTTAATTACCTGCATGTCTTTTTACTACATCAACTATCTCACTAATAACAAGATTCAGTGGAAGTGAGTCGATATTTGTGCTTGATATTGTAGTTCCATCACGTAGCGGACAGGTAAATTGGCCTTGATTGCTAGCCGCCAAATCTTTGATGCATTGCAAGCAATATGTATGCGAACAGGACAACGTACAGGGTTTATTAAAATTGTCCAGACATATTGGACATTTTATTATATCTTCAAGTTGTTCTTTAAATTCTTCTCCATTTGTCTTCGATGACATTTTGATGATTGAATAATAATCTACAAAAAAAAACAGATTGCTGATGGAAAATATTTTAGAAGTATGAGGACTTCGACTAAAGAATATATTAGTGTATTTTACCCTTCGTGTTAGAAAGAGCTCACTCTATTTTTTTCCAACTAACATTCATGCAATGTTATGTAAGCTTTTCATCAATGTTTGCATGCCTTTATATGTGGATGTCTCAGAGGCAAAGTAAAGAAATATGATTAATAGTTACTTCCTACTGACAAAATGGTCTTATTCAGTGACTCAGAGAGAAAAAATAAATAAGTAGTCTGTTGGTAAATGGCATAAAGTACAAAAATATTTTCGTTATAATTCATGAAGAAGCCGAAGGCATTTAAATGAATTTTAAGTGAAAAACAAACATGTTACTTCCATACTGATGCAGATCGAAAGATGAAAAACATGAAAGTGTTGCAAGGTAACTAAAATTAACATGCGCTATAATAAAAACGTAAATATCTTGTTGGAAAGAATAATAAAATACAAAGGTCCGCTCACTTTCATTTCGATATAACAATTATTTTTCCATTAGAACTATTTTATCATATATCTATCGATTACCTTATTTTGTTAATCTTAATTCAGTAGCACAATATCCCAATTACAATTCAGAAAAAGAAATAATTCGAATCAACTATTTGCTTTTAAGATACTGCAAATGCTTTGTACCATATAATTGTAAACGTCTCCGCCTTATCTACTGGTGTTCAGTGCCTAACTCTGTATGTTGATTTATGAAAAATCATTAGCTATACATACAGGATAAGGCATCATCCATCTTTAGGGAAGTATCCAACGGAAGGTTGAGATTGAACGCTCGGGAAAACTCCATTAAACAAAATATACATGAAAAGATGACACATAGATAACGTAAGGAAAAGATCAAGCATGCATGATAGACAGGAATGGAAAAAATCAAGTCTGTGTGACATAAGAAAGAAGAGATAATAGGAAAGAAGGAAAATACCAAGTGACACATGTGATAGAGTATGAATGTTGATGTAGAGATTTGTGTGCATCCACGTCTAACCACTGCTACACATCCTCAACATATAAATAACATCCATGCAAATCTACTCAAACAAAGAGGTGTTCTCAACTATCATCATCAATTTAGAGGTAGTTTGGGTGTGAGTGTAAATGTAGCATGAGAATTGTATCCATCGCTCACTCACACCCATCCTAAATATCAATTTATTTCTTGTATGTAAGAATTTAGTTATTTTAGAAGAAAATATATATTATTTACTGAAGGATTAGTTGAACGAACATGTCCTTACAATGACAAAATTAATATCGATTGTGTTCGTTCTATTGAAATTCGACTTGAAAAAGTTATTGAGAATTGTGCAACATATTTTCCAAATATAACTGAACTTAAAATTTCATCTATGAATATAAATCAAAATGAAATTTTCAATAGTTTACAATATATTCTTCCTTTACAACAACTGACTACTTTATTAATTAATGATCCGAAATGTAATCTTGAAAAGATGATTGAATTATTACATTATCTACCTAAACTTTCAAGTTTAACAATTCAACATATATTAATTCATGAGAACGATCTAGTATGTATTCAATAAAATGAAGTTTATCAATTGATATCAACTAGAAATAATATAAAAAATTTGATTATTTGTTAATCTTTGTCCTCAATTACAACGTTTAATGATCAATACATTTACAAATTGTATAGAATCGATTCTAAGATTTTTATTATTAAAAAATAATACTGGTCATTTATCTTCATTATGTTTGAAAAATGTATCGGAAGATGAAATTGAAAAATTACTTGCTAATTATTCATGGAAAATAGTTAATGTAGTGTTAAATGATATGTATTTATGGTGGTGATATTATCGATGAATGAAATCTAATAAACACGAAGTTATTTTTGTTAATGTTATAAATAAAAGTTATTCTTAGGAATTTGTGAAATGATCATAGTTTTAGTATAACAAAAGTCAATATCTTCTTGTATATTTAAACACAAATAGATGAACAAAAAATAATAATAATAAATACACACAAATATTTGTAAATATGAAAAACAAAACGTCTGATGAAGTTGGTGTTTTTTTATCTTTTACTGATTTGTTCTCACCATCACTGTTCTCCTAACATTAAAAGTCAACGCAAAAAAAAAACAATAATTTAGTTGAATAAAAAAGTTCTATTTATATGTCTTGTACAAAATTGCCTGGAAATAAACCAATTTTTCCATGTAAATTTCCTTTACACCATTGATCTGGACGACGTTCGAGTAACAAAATTAGATCACCTAGAAAATGAATCATAAATAAGAACAAAATAATATTCGTAGAATTTTACCTGGTTGTATGGTTAATTCATCATCATGTTCTGCAACATAAGAATCTATAACTTTAACAAATTTAATTGTTTGTTGCTGTCGTAGAGAATCTGTTGATGCTGTCATAACAGATGGAAGAACTGAAGAAGGTGGATGAGGTGCTGCTGATCGATTATCTATACAACATAATAAAAGTATTAGTAAGAGAAATTATTATTTAACAATCAGCATGCACGTGGGGAAAAAACAAATCAATGCAATCACATGCAGAAGTTTCATTTAAACTTACACATTGAATGTAAGATTGCAGAATTTTTTGAGAGCGTGAGTAGGTATGGGTGTCTCTTCTTTATGTCTCTAACTCACACCCACACCCTCAAGATGGTATACAGGATTGGATTCTATTAATTTACTAGTCTTTTACCTGCATGTTTTGTTACTAAATCAACTATATCACGAATAGCAAGATTAAGTGGAAGTGAATCGATATTTGTGCTTGATATTGTGATTCCATCACGTAGCGGACAGATAAATTGGCCTTGATTGCTAGCCGCCAAATCTTTGATGCATTGCAAGCAATATGTATGCGAACAGGGCAATATGCGGGGTTCATTAAAATTGTCCAGACATATTGGACATTTTATTATATCTTCAAGTTGTTCTTTAAATTCTTCTCCATTTGTCTTCGATGGCATTTTGATGACTGAATGATAATCTACAAAAAAAAATAGATTGCTGATGGAAAGTATTTTAAAAGTATGAGAACTTCAACTAAAGAATATATTAGTGTATTGTACGCTTCGAGTTAGAAAGAGTATAATCTTTTTTTTTCCAACCACCATTCATGCAATGTTATGTAAGCTTTTCATCAATATCTGCATGCTTTTTTTATGTCGATGTCTCAGAGGCAAAGTCAAGAAAAATGATTAATAGTTACTTCCTACTGACAAAATGCTCTTATTCAGTGACTCAGAGGGAAAAAATAAATAAGTATTTTGTTGGTAAATGGCATAAAGTAAAAAAATATTTTCACTATAGGTCATGAATAAGCCTAAGACATTTAGATGAATTTTAAGTGAAAAACAAACATGTTACTTTCATATTGTTGCAAATCGAACGATGAAAAACATGAAAGCGTTGCCAGGTACTAAAAGCACTTTGATTCTGTATCTAATCGGGGAGAAATATGTATCTGGCCAAGAAATAATTCAAAAATAACTTCATACAATAAAATATTGATCTCCTCTTGTGTAAATTATTCTCAAGAAAAACGAAAAAAAAAAACATTCTCCTCTTATTCATATTTACGCTAAACGATGTGGCAAATAAAATTCAATGCGACAAAAGGCATATTGCATCATTTACATCATTTATTTCCTTTTCTTAATCCTCTCCAGTTATTGCACAATCATTAGAAATTTGTAATTGACGATAAAGACAAATTCATTTAAACAATCAATAGCATCTGCACCATACTATATAATAAATAGTGTACACTACTCTGACTTTTATACGTATAACATTAAAATGAAACTTAGTGAGGCCTCTCTAGACTTCAGATGAACGGATCTGAGTTAATTAAAAATATGAACATATAAAACGTGTGTATTGTGAATGAACAAACATTAATTAATTGAAATATATTAAATACTGTCGCTAGAATGATATACGTGCTGAGGGTTTACTGCGTACGAAACGTATTCTTTAGTATGTTATCGGTCGTACTTTTATTATTTTTTATTCTTTATCTTTCACGTAGTATATATGAAAAAATAGAAAGCGATACACGTGGCAAGGTTATTTTCGTACGTACGAAATGAATTCTTTAATACGTTGCTAGTCTACTGGTCATTCTTCTATTATCTTTTTTCCCTCTTAACACACTCCTTAAATAGCACCGATCCAGCTAGTAACTGAGAAGAATGTTTGTTAAAACACAGTATTTACAATCGTTGAATGTATTCGTAAGTTATATACTATATTCTATAAGTTTGAATGTTAATTAGATTGTACAATATTCAATTCAGCTATATGTGTCGTGCAATTAGTTTTTATCCAAAACAATCCTTCTTGAATTTTTTACAGATGAATGTATTCAACTTCGAGATTAAAATTTCTTAAGTCGTCAAATAGCTTAATCTGCAAATTAGATCAACTTTTTTTATCTCACCCTTTTTTCAGAAACGAGAACGTGGAAAATGATATCTGAAAACGACTCTTGAGTTCAGTATTATCGAAGACAGTAAGATCTGTCTTAGTGAACTCCTCTTTATTTTGAATATAAACGCATTTTTTCGATCCCATCCGTATATATTAATCTTCATATAGGAGGTATTAATAGGAGGCGCTAATTGAATAATTATATGATTGGAATTGTGGAGTCTGTAATCTATTTCCATGAAAATAAATATATAAATATAATTGTTTTTGTTTTGTACAGTTTCTAGAACTTTGGATATCACATATGGTATCTTGCAATAAATTATGTCTAGCATAAAAAACAATTGTAAAAAATGATACCAATGAAAATTTTTTAGCTGCTGAGAATAGTTCGTATGATGATGGTTTAGATGTGTCAACAGCAATCCAAATGATGTATCGTCGGCAATTGTTATTAACTACAATCGAAGCTGATCAATATCTATCTAAATTCGAATACTCCTAAAGAAAATCTATTCGTGATTTTTTTAAACGCACCTAAACAGAATTTGGATACAATATTCTAAAAATGTTTTAGAAAAAAGTGTGAAATATTAAAAGTCATTTAAATGAGGTCGAGAATAAAAAGACTTATGTTTTGGCTTATTTTTATTTGATTCTTTCTTCTTTATGAATACCCTGATATATACAGAATGATTTTCATTGGTTTCAATGGTATTCACATTAGATAAATAATATTCTTTGATGTTTTAGATACTAATACAAACGAGATGTTAATTCTTATTGTGTCTATAATTGTGACACTTATCCTCAGTTTCATTACATTCATTTATTTCAAGCTTATTCGATCTCAAAAACGTGTATACGATGCTTTTCGAGCACAAGGTGTTCCAAGTGAACCGTTTATTCCACTTGTTGGTCAACTTTGGCACATGAATGAGGCTAATAAAATAGGTAGAGGTATGGATTATATTGTGGATCTCGTACAAAAACATGGCTCCTACTTTCTATTTGGTTTTGGCCCATTAACTCGAATGATACTTGTTGAACCAGAACTTATATCCGACGTTTTAGGTCGTTCAAACACTGCGAACTATCAAAAACCACCTGATCTGATAAATATTGTTAAACCAATTCTTGGAACACATAATCTTTTAGTTAGCGAAGGAGATGAACATGATCGCGCGCGCAAAATGCTAAATCCTGCCTTTCATTTTGTTAATCTTCGTTCAATGGTGCCAATTATGTCAAACGAAACGGTTAAGGCTATCGACTCTCTTCTTTCGCTTGCATCATCAACAAACGAAGTCAATTTGGAAATTCAAATGAATAGCTTAACTCTTTCCATCATTGCATCGAGTGCTTTTAGTCAAGGTTTTGAAACTACACCACATGCTAAAGAGAGTATGTGTACAACATTTAATGAGGTAAAAGATGTAATTGAATATCGAACATTACATATGATCAATCAGATCAAATTCCTAGCAGAATTGCCATTTTGGGGTAAAAAAATTGTCGATGATGGAGCAAAAAAAGTCAATGATTTTGTTGATCAGGCAATTGCTGATCGACGAAGTGGAAAATCAACTAGTTTGTGTGCTGGTCAAGATATACTTGATCTTCTTTTAAATGCTGTTGATGATAAGGGTGAATCATTTTCTGATCAACAGATAAGAGACGAAGCACTAACCTTTGTCCTTGCTGGTCATGAAACTACTGGAAATTTAATGACTTGGACACTCTACTTATTAATGACACATGCTGAAGTGTTAGAAGCGTGTCGCGAAGAAGTCGATCGTATTTTACCCAATGGAACGATTCCTGATTTTGAACATATGGCTGATCTTCAGGTAATTGAAGCTGTTCTCTACGAAAGCCTTCGTCTTTATCCACCTGCTGCATTTATTGTTCGTCAATGCATTAAAGAACATACAATTGGCGGTACTAATGGTAAATCTTCAATTTTTATTCCTGTTGGCGCTATGATTGTAATTCATAACTATACCCTACATCGACGAGAGGACTATTGGTCTTGTCCACTCGAGTTTGATTATAAACGATGGATGCGTGATCCAGTATCTGGACTAAAACCAAAACTTACTCATCCATATGCTTATCTTCCGTTTGCATCAGGCACGAGAAATTGTATTGGACAGAACTTTGCAATACTCGAAGCAAAAGTGATGCTTGCAATGCTTGTACAACGGTGTAACTTCACGTTAGTACCTGGACAACAAATTGTTCCTGAAATGAAAGGTGTAACGATGAAAACTAAATATGGTTTGTTTGCATATGTAGAAAAAAGAGAAATCTAGTGATTCTATTCAAAATGTCAATATTCATGCAATCAATTCTACTCTATTGACTTCTTTTTTAATTATTTATCTTAAATTATTCATACGTTGTCATTAGAAAAAAATAAATATATTTTCGGCGAACGTTTTTGTACTTTATTAGTTTTATTTTTCATTTAAGTCTTTACTTTTCAATGAACTACATCAAAAGTTCATTAATATTTCTTACATGTTTATTAACATGAAGAGAGGAAATAAATTATAACTTTATTTGATTAAAAGGTGAGTTAAACTAATCATTGTTCGTATTTGTTTTCTTCTATTAAAACAAGTGTATTCATTCCTTTACTATTTTTGATGTTAAATTATGAGCAAAGATGATCCTCTCTATACAACAACATCTGATCGAATGATTTTTTTGCTAAATTCTCATGACGTCACATGTATAAATAGCCAGAATTTAATGACAAATATATTTTTATGCTCATATCATGCATAAATCCATAATGACAGTTTTTTTCTTCATAGAATTTAATGAGCATAAAGACATTTGACTTTATAAATGCATTAAAACATTCATTTAAACAATTTTGTTATATTACTAATCTATCATTAAATAAAGTTATCCGCAATGGAAAAAGTAATCTGGCGAAACAAAATAATATTTTCTTTGCATTATTCTTTGTAGATTATCAAGTAATATCAAATAGTGAAAAATGACATCGTTATCATATATTGCTGATGAGATAACATTATATTTTGGATATTTTCTTCTTTTCATAGGTGTTACTGGCAATGGAATGAATATTCTTATTTTCCTAAGTATTCGTACTTATCGCACCACTCCTTGCACATTTTACTTTCTTATTTGTTCAATACTTAATCTAGCTTATATATCAATCACTCTTATTACTCGTATTATGAGTATAGGTTATGGAATCGACTTCACTCATACATCAATAGTTTGGTGTAAATTAAGACAATTCTTTGTTGTTTCACTTAGTTTAATTAGTGTAACATGTTCATGTTTGGCAACAATCGATCAATTTTTAGTTACATCAAAGAATGCTAATCTTCGTCGATATAGTAATATGAAATTGACATATCGAATTACTTTGATTTCCATTATAATCTGGTGTCTTCATGCAATTCCTGTTTTTGTCTTTCGCGATATAATACCGACTAGTAATACATGTGTAAACATCAATGCTATCTATGCCATTTATATACCTCTATATCTTATTGGTCTCTTCTGTGGCATTCCAGTTTTAATTGTAATCATATTTGGGTATTTGGCTTATCGAAATATTCGTCAAACACAAGTTCTTCTTGATCAACATGCTGATCGACAAATAACAAAGATGACTATTATTCAAGTATTATTTATTATAATTTTTATGGTTCCATTTGGTATTTACGCTACTTACAGTTCAATAACATCAAATATTGCTAAAAGTGCAGATCGATTATTAAAAGAATACTTTGCTTCAGTAATTATTTTAACACTAACAAGTTTTTACTTTGCCGTATGCTCCTTTATTTTTGTTATGAACATAAATTTTCTTTATAAATTATTTATTTTAGGGAAGTTGTTATATGTTTATGATTTCATCAAGACGTTTTCGCCAAGCTGTATTAGCTCGAATATTATGGTGCAAAAGAACACATCGAGTTAATCCATTGCATTTAATTACAATTGGAAGAGTTATATTACCATACAATACATAATTAATTCTACATATTTTATGTTCTTAAAATATCTTTTTTTCTGTCATCATCTCGTGCATTATTCCATTCAAGAATTAAAATTGTTGTTTTGTAATGTTTTTGTCAGGAAATAAAAAATATATGTTTAAATGATCTAGAAGAGAATTAACTCTTACGAAGTAATTATTTATGCACAAATGTAATTCAACAAAAGAAAAATTTGTTCTCACACTATAAAATATTATTTATTAATAAAACATTTAAAGTAATTATGGTATGTTCAGAGAATTAAAGATGTGGGTAATGAATGAGAAGAATCTGTACTTACAGCCACATCATTGTCTAGCAAATATATTTCATTCGCTCTACGACCGTTTCAATCCCTGTCATATCAACTGCATAAGAAATAATAGTAAAAATGATTCGATGCATGTTTTTAAAGACATATTTCTTCAGTCATTTATCGAAAGTATAATAATATTAGTTTATATTCGCATGACTATTTAAAAACTTACGAAACAACACATTTTTTTTGATTGTAAAGATGTTTCATTTTATTAGCTTAATCAATTCAATGTAATTGAAAAAATTTCGTTACAAGTCTATCATTTACATAAATGATTAGATAAATCCTGAGATATTTTTTTTTATTAAACTTTAACAATTCTTTTTATCTGATGATGATGATGAACAATCATCGTCATCATCAGTATCACTAATTTCATGTAAAGTCACTTTCCAAGAAAAAGTTTTTTCTTCAAAATTTAATTCTAGATTATTTTCATCAAGTTCATATTCAATAGTATGTTTCATAGCTTCTACTAATGAATTTAACCATTTTGTTTGACATTCTGTTTGTATCCATAAACAATAATCATTTAAATAAAGTGTATTTAATAAATATCGATGTTCTTCATCCAAAAATAAACGTCTCATTTGAAGTAAACATTGAAGTATTGTAGATTTTCCCATTGAAAATATTTCTATAACATCAAGTAAACATTTTTTTGCAAGTTTAAATGAACGAATAAGTGGATAGATTAAAGTTCGACGACAACATGCTATTAGAACAGATGGAAGATCAGTAAATGTATCAAACCATGACAATGTTGATGATAATTTATGAATATTCCATGAAGATTCACAACATGGTTCACCTCTACGAAGAAAAAAATATATATATTTTTGTATTATATGTAAGTTTTTCTTACTGTGTAATTCGTTGATCATAAACAAATGCATAAAGTAAATCAATAAGTCCTAGATAAATTGATATTTGATCATCAATGAATAATTGTTTATATTTAAGATTTTTTAAATCATCTCGATCTTGTTCATCTAATTGATCTTCTAAAATTAATTTATAATCAAATATTGTTTCATCATTTAATTCATATTTATCAGCTAGATAATGTTCAGAATTAAAATCCGATTGTTCTTGTTCTAAACGGCATGAACGAATTGATGATGTTGGAAGTGTATCTGGTGACTGGTTATCAAATATTAAACAATATTCTGAATCAAAAGTTGTAAATAAATCTTTATATTGATGATTAAAACCATATGAATATGAAGATATTAAATTTTCTTTTGGTTGATCTAAATAAATGAATATGAAATAAAAATCAAAAGACTTTATTTTTTTATATACCATCAATTTCAAGTTGTCTCATTTGATTCCATAATGGTTCATCTTCATCCTCTTCCTCCTCATCATCTTCTTCTTCTTCATTTGTTAAATCGTTATCAATTTCTTCAATTTTATTTGATGATACTTTTGCTTTTTTATTCAATAATGTCGTCAACATATCAAGATTTTCGAACTGTTCATTTTTTGTTTCTTTTTCATATGTAAAACAAAATGAAGATGTATCAATATCATATTTATAATTAGATGCATCTTTATCAATTACACGACCAGGTAAATATAAATGAAGATAATACGGTTTACAAGCAAAATAGAATTCATTTGGTGAAGGTAAATCAATTTCAATACCATTATTTTCTTCATTTGATGATGATGAGAATTTAACATATGGACATCGAACTGTAATTAATAATTGTGTTGAAGTTTGAGTTAATGAAAAACGAGGAATTAACATCGTGTCTTTTTTTTTCTTCTATCAAAATGATCTATTTCGATATTTTGATTAAGAATTGGTCATATTATATTGGAAGGATGGTAATGGATATTAGATGGACTTAATGATAGAGGGCGTTGTTGATCGAGAAGCTCTTCCTTAAATATAGAATTTCGATTAATGGAAGAATAACTTAGTAATATAGATCATTGTGGTAATCACGATGTGATATTGAATTGATTGTGAAGAGTAACAATATTTATATTATAATGAATTGTTCTAAATTACTAAATTCTTTCAAAAATATACAGAAGTCAAGTTTTTTGTTAGTTTAAATCAACGGTTCTAGAGTTAGCAAATAGTGCATAATAGTTTATAAAAGATAAATTTTCTCTCTTTGATATAATTTATTTTTTCGTTATATTGTAAATCAATGATCATTATTGTTTATAGTTCTGGCCTTACTTGATGAATCAGTATTTTCGGTCGTCACCATCGATTCAAATGAATATTAAATAACACATAGATTAATTGTTTACGAAATCGTTTCGGATGCACAAATATATGTATAAAAAGAACTCTAGATTAATATATAAATTATTTTGACTCTTACAGCAAAATAAGTATAGTAACTAAGAAGAGTAATAGACACAATAAATTGAAAGATTTGGAATTGTTCGTCGTTTGTAAATATTGATCAATTAATTATTGAATTTCTTCGATATTTTAAGATCGTCTTTTAAGTACTGATAGAGCCAAAAAATTTCTGTTCTTATATATAAGTTTTAATGTCATGTAGAAAATAAAATTAGCTTACGATACATTCCATATTAATAATTATTAGTAAACGTTTCATCGCATTTCAAATCTGTAACTCAAAAGTAACTGCTGAGTTCTGACGTTAGAAAACAAAATTGTCACGCAAATGAAAAACAATTTATTTTTAGAAACTATTATTTTAATCATTAACCATGTATTATAATACTACTTCTATCGATTATACACAAGAAAGAATAATTTGTTAATTAAAATAATATAGTCTACACGATAGTCTTAATTATCTTTTTGATCAAATATATAATCACACAATGAAAACAGATGATGTCAATGATAATCAATTGTAAGTAGATTCTTCATTTATTAGTGTAAGAAATAGCTACATTGTTTAAATATTATTCAAAATTCTATTAATTAAAATTTTCGAGCAACAAGATAACATCGATCATGATTTTCATCATTAAGATTTGCTAAGCGTTTTGAATCATAATTCATATATATAAGTTCATCAAGTACATCGAATTTTTGTTGTTTGAAACATTTTAATGAGATAAGATTTGTTGCTTCTGCAAATGCACCAGCAATTTCTAACTCTTTAGCATATTCAATACTTTTTTCTATGAGGCGTGATGCAAGCCCATGACCACGTGCACGTTTATCGACACTTATAATAAATACATGAAGTAGAGTATGAGCATTTAATTTCTCAAAAATATTTAAATTTTTATGTACATCAGCAAAAAGTTGAAACAGAAAACCAAGTTTTTCATCAGATTGAATTGTTTCATTTCGTTGATTTTTATGTTTAATTTCATTGAGACAAATTGCAACTATTTGATTTGTTTCTGTATTGAAAGCAACAAATGAACATTGATCTTGTAAACAATCTTTAATAATATTTTTAGCAAATTGTAATGTTTCAGTTATTTGAAGACATTGTGTAATTGGTTCATCTTTAAAAAATGAATTTAATAATAATGATAAAACTTGATCATGATCATCTTCATGTAATAAACGAATATTAAATGTTAATGATGATGACATTTGTTTCGATACTAAGGACATGTATTCTTCTTATTTTTTTACTCACGTTTTTTTAAAAAGATTGTATCGTGAAGAAACAGCAAACAATATTTTGCTTTCGAATATTTATATTGATATACGACTGATGTTTTATGAGTTATTTATTTTTTTCGTTCTGCTTCAACTTTTGACTATTTACGTGTACCCAGTATTTTTTTATTCTTATCAAATATGATACATACAACGATAACATATTTCTCTCTTATGAAATTATGTATAGATACTCAAGAATAAAAAATACTAGGAAAAATGGCTTGTTCGCTCTATTGTTGAAGGCTTCGATAGCCTTAAATAGACAAACCAAATTCGATTTCAAAGAATGGTAGATTATTTTTACTTTTTTTCATTACTATATCACGTTTTCAAGAAGAAAATAGGATTAAATCAGAATTTTGTTTTTGAACTAAAAGAAGTTATTTATAAAATATATTTATGTAAATCTCTGTGATAGAAAAAAATAAAAATTTAATTATGTAATGATTACAGTTATGATCAAAACCAATATAAATATTCCTCTGTTGCAGAATTTTTTCTGCTTTTGTTTGTCGTTACTACACAGTTGTTTTTATTAGCTGAATAATATACTACATAAATTACTATGCTCAAATATTAATACAGTTCATATTTATTCTCCTATATATTATAACATAAACTAAATTAATTCGAAAATTGGAAATATATTGTGGATCTATGGTGAAATATTTTTAATTGCATTCAATAAATCTTAGTATAGTCATCTAAAATATATGTTTAGCAACAAGGTATGTAGTCAAAAAAGATGAATCAAACTTCATTTGTGAGATTTATAATACCTAGTTGTTGCATATTTTCTACAATATGGTAGAAATACACGACAAATTTGTACATGATGTCATCATATGTATTTACTACTGTCACATCTATTGACATAGATTCCTTATGTCGGCATAATCTTCTTGGCATAATAGGTAATACTTCATTTACTAGTTAAATACATGAACAAAAAGTGACCACATACTCTAATTCATGCGGCATGAAATAATAATTAACTAGTGAACCGAGAAATGAATAAAGTATTTTTGGATCACAAACATTGAATGTTAGAATCAGAAAATATATATTCATGTTGCTTATAGTAATAATGTAATTATTCTCATCATCAAACCTGTGTTTCAGACAAAGATTCATTGAGATATATGGAATCTATATGAAGAAAAACGTGTCTTCTGGAGTGAATATATTGTGTTCACTGCTCTTTAATCAACTATTTGTGATTTCTTTTCTTTTTTCTCTTGTTAGCATTATTTCTCTTTTATGTTTATATCATAGGATGTATATTAATAGTTAGGATTATATTATTTCAAATAGTTCAACTTATGCATTTCGTAAACTTTATTTATCTAAAACAATTCATGTTTTTATATCTCTCCGATATTTCATACTGTCTATAGATAAACTATGATATACAGATATAATTTTAACTCATCTGCATTTATTAGTTATTTCTTTATATCACCCTCAAAGATGATTGTATACAACAATA